TGATGGAGCCATCCTGCCTGCTGGGCCCTGGGGGAGACAGGGTGCTGAGCTACGTGGGCACACGAGCCTCCGAGTTCTTCCCCCTCCAACTCTCCCTCCCTCCCACCTCTTCTATCAGCCGCTGACAACGCTTGTCTTGTGTGTAGGCAGCTCCCAGGCTTCCAAGATGATTCCCTGCTCCCCACACCCCCATCCCTGGGAGCGTGCAGGGTTTTGAGGAGGGGGAGCAGCGTTGCTCTGTCTGCAGGCATGTTCTGCCGGAGACACCGTGCTTCCAGAGAGCTCCATGTGGTAGCTCTCTCCCAGGATTTCACATGACAGCCTCTTCCCCGGGAAGCCACAGCAGGGAGCGGAAGATTGGTGCGCCGTGCATGTGGGTGTGAGGAAGGAGCAGAGTGGGATGGGGAGATGGAGGGCAGAGGAGGAGGAATCACAGCCTAAACCAGAACAAATCCTCTCGGAAAAGCCTTGAATTTCTGAACTCGGGGCTCCCATTTCCTGCCCTTCCCTCTCCATTTAAAAGGATGTCAATCCTTAAGCACGGCAGGGAAAAAGGAGTCAAGTCGAATCAGCTCTTCCTTCCTTGAGCGCATCGCAGGGGACCACGAGAGGCAAAGAGCACATGAACTAAGGAGACAGACCCAGATGTGCGCCCTGGGGAGAACCCTCCCAGCCACGGGTGTCCGCCCTGGAGAGCCATAACCCGCCGTTAATGGCATCTCTATGGGAGGAGGCTCAGTGTGTGGCACTCCAAACCCGCGTCCCCCAGGGCCCTAGCAGAAAATGACCCCACAGAACTCCAGCTCTTGACTCCACAGCTGCTACCCCGTGACTGCAAAGCATCCCCCACCGCACACCTCAAAGCTCTCAGGGTTAAGCTCGGCTGGGACAGCCCAGCCCTGCTCTGCACCCAGGGGAGCAGGGCCCCCATGCAGGCAGCCCCCATGCTCCTGGCACATCCCTTCAGGGCACGGAGCTGGGATGAGACCCCTCAGAGAGGTTTAAAACCACCTTTGGGCCACCGGAATCCCTCTGTCCCTCCCAGCTTCGCCCCCGGGCTGCGCCTACAGCAAGCTCTCTGCTTTGGCTGCCAGATGGTCCCTGGCTGTGCCCTCCTGTAGTGGGTCCTCAGGACACAGAGCCTTAAAGCTGTCACCTGCATTGCGGCACTGGTGAATCCTCATGGATCCCTTTAACAGCCCTGGCTGTCCCACCTGAGCATGGCCAAAGGTCTCATCCTGCCCAGCCAGACTGGAGCTGAATCATTCCCTGTCTAGCAACAAGGAAGAATGCCTGGTGTAAAGATCCCCTTCTTCCCCTGTTCCATCGTGTCAGAAAGCAGCAACGTGAGCTCTGTTTTCTCCAGCCTCCATCTGCTCTGAGCACAGGCTGTGACCCACGAATATCCACCCACCTCTGCCTGGGGAAGCATGAGAAACCCTGAGCAAAGCCATGGACTTCCAGAGAAAGCCTGCTCCAGGGAACCATGTCCACCTCCGGGCCAGAAAGACCTGGAGGTTTCAGGCAGGTTGAAGCCTTGTGTGTCCCAAAATAGCTCTTTCAACATCCCCGTGTCCAGCGGGCCAGGGCTGAGAGCAACAGGCAGGTATTGCCTAACCCTGGGAAAGCAGGATACTGGCGAGGGGCTTTTCATCAGGGACTGGAGTGACAGGACACGGGGTGATGGGTTCAAACTGAAACAGGGGAATTCATGTTGGAGATAAGGAGGAAGTTCTTTACTGTGAGGGTGCTGAGGCCCTGGAATGGGTTGCCCAGGGAAGCTGTGAATGCTTCATCCCTGGCAGTGTTCAAGGCCAGGTTGGACAGAGCCTTGGGTGAGTTGGTTTAGTGTGAGGTGTCCCTGCCCACGGCCGGAGGGTGGAACTGGATGATCTTAAGGTCCTTTCCAACCCAACCCAGTTTGTGGTTCTATCATCCATTCTGTGCTGAGGTAACCAGGAAAGGAGGGGCCAGGCCAACGGGACGGGATAGGAGCTGGCGTTTCTATTTCGCTGCTGCCACCACAACATTCCCAGCCCCGGCACAGCCCAGTTCCTCCATGCAAATCCTCCCGGTGCGAGCAGGGAGTTTCACCAAGCCCTTTCCCGGCAGCCAGCCTCTGCTTTCACTCTCGGAATTAAGCAAGGGGGATTTTCATTGCCTCACCAGAGGCTCTTCCTCCTCGGAGCTGGCGGCAGAGCCCTCACCCTGCTTGGGGGGGGGTTTGGGCTCTGGGTGACTGAGGTGTTCCTCTGGAAGCCAGCCCCGTGGCTCTCGAGAGCAGGCTCAGCCCATCCCAGCCTCGGGGCTGCTCCATCCGGGCAGTGTTTAAAGTCGCCTGGACCAAATCCTGCCCCGATTTGAGCGGCGGGCTTGGAAGTCAGCGGCTTTCCAGCTTGCTGCCAGCGCAGATCCGCCTGTGGGAGCAGGGCTTTGCGGAGCAGGGCACTGGAGCGTTTGAATTCCATTCCCCGCCCCCCGGCTGGTTTTCTTTCGTTGTTATCTTTCAAACACCCTCGGTTAAGGGGTCAGACCGGTCACTGGTGGTGGGGACTGTTTCTCTGCAGCCCCGGGGAGGGACTGAGCTGATCTCTCTCCCAATCCAGTGGCTTTCCCCTCCCTGGCAGCCCTTTCCTTTGCCCTCTCCTCCCCAGCCCCTGGTTGGTTGGGTTTTTCCTCCCCCCGGTTGGAATCCAACCAACCTCCTGGGTTCAAACTGCTCCGGAGTCAGGAACGTGCTGAGCAGGAGCCTCTGCTCCTGGCAAGGGCAATGGAAACTTGCCACGGAGCAACACCTCAGCCGTGGAGGACGTGTTTTCAGGTGGATGCTGTGTGTGCACCGCGATGGGGGCAGGACAAGCAGGAGGCTGTGTCTGAGCTCCAGGAAGGCACTGAAGTCCCTCAGACACAAAGACTGGCAGGAGATGTGCATAGCTCCGGAGCAGGGAATGGCTCTGAAGGCAGCGTGAGCCCCTCAGATGTTCCCCAGCCTCCCCCAGCCCTGTTTGTGTCATGATTCCTCGTCTAAGGGAATGAGGAGTCATCGCTGCCCTGCGAGCTGATGCCTTTCCCAGGACTCCAACTGGTTCTGCTCTGTTTGTGTCTGCAGTGCTGGTAATTCAGGCCTGTCTCGCATTAGCTTTGGAGACGAAACCTTCCCACAATTAGTTCCAGTCTGTGCTCCTGCGCTGCACAGGACGTAGGGCTGAGCTGGCAGAGCTCTGTCTGCGAGACCCGTCCCACACAAACCCTACGCAGGGTTCTCTGTTTCACTCTCCAGTGTGATTTTTCTACTGAAATCATCAAAGCAAACCGGTCTCTGCTGCAGAGGGGCAGCGACAGCCGTTTGAAGATGCCGTATACCTGCCTCATCTCAGGCGTTTCAATAGAACCTTGTTTCACACCAGTACATTTCTTTCTCTGGCCTTCCTTTCCCACCACCGACATGGGGAGAGGATCCTTTCAACTTCAAAAGCTCCACATCACAAGGATCAGAGAAGTGCTGAGCATCCTCATGCCTGCCCACAGCTGCCAGGGACCAGAGCCCAGCAGCTCACCCGGCTCCACAAGCACCCTTGTAGCATCCCTGCCTCTCCTGGAGCAGAACTGTTTCGCCCCCATGATAGTAACAGGGCTCTTGTCCCAGGTGGGAATTTAACAGAGGCCAATCCTAAGTGTGGTCCAAACCTCCCAGCTGGGCCAGAGCCATGTGTGGTGCTGCAGGAATGCCGGAGCACAGCCGAAGTGAGGGAGAGCTGGCACATGTCTGGGGAACATAAGCTATAGGGAAGGAGTTGCAGGCAGCAGGCACCTTGGGATAAGCACCAAGTGAGGGTGCGTGACAGGCAGAGAGGAAAAGGATAGGGAAGGTAACAGGAGAGCTGAAGGGGACTGGGAGAGGAGGAAGCTTCATTTGTGTGCTCCTATCCAGGTGATTTACTCCCTCTGTGCCTTCACTGCCGTCCATCAAACAGGGAAGCATCATCATTATCCCTGCTGCAGACAGGCACGGGGTCTTTGCCTACGGCAAGTCAGGCAGCATCAAACCCCCGGTGCTTCTGTCTGTCAGCCTGGGTTTGGTTCCCTACACCTTGTTCTCCATCCCAGGGGCACTGAGAGCAGCCGGGAGGGAGCCTGGCGATCACTGTGCAAAGAGGCTGTGCTGAAACGAGTTCAGGAGCGGCGATGGTCGGGAGGCAGCCATGGAGCCGCTCTTGTCCTGTCACCCGCATGGCAGGGACTGCAGGGGGCTTCGGCAGCTCTGCATGGGTGCAGGAGGAACGTGGCTTGTAATGGCAGCGCCGGTGCATGGGAGAGCCGAAAGCCCGCACCGGGAAGCATTCCTGGGCAAGGGAATCTCCACAGCTGCTGTAGAAGGAGTCCCACAGCAAGGGGCGGGATGCGCCGCGGGGATGAATGCATTTGGAGGGGACTCTTGTGGTTCGAGGCCCCTCTCTCCAACCAGAAACACATTTGAAAGCAACCTGCCCCTGGGGAATAGCCCTTCACTTGTCCTTGTAAGAGGGGCACCTCCTTCACAAGCCGTGGTGGTGCCTGGGTTGGGATGGGAACGGAGGAAGCCTCGGAGAGTGGGAATGGTGAGGGGAGCCGGGGATGCTGAGGGGAGCCGGGGGGTGCTGAGGGGAGCCGGGGGGTGCTGAGGGGAGCCGGGGGGTGCTGAGGGAGCCGGGCCGAGAGCCCTGAGGTGAGCCGGGGGTGCTGAGGGGAGCCGGGGATGCTGAGGGGAGCCGGGGGTGCTGAGGGAGCCGGGGGTGCTGAGGGAGCCGGGCCGAGAGCCCTGAGGTGAGCCGGGGCACACAACGGCCCACCGTTACCTCCTGCCCCGCGGCCTCAGGCCTGCCCCTGGGCGCTGCCAACAACCAAAATGGCGGCGGCGGCGGCCGCGCCCGGGGCGGGGCGGAGCGGAGCGGGCCGGGGCGGGGCGGGCTCGGCGCTCTCCCTCCCTCCCTCCCTCAGCTCCGCCGCCGTTGTCGTTTCAGAGCGGAGCCGGCAGCGCCCGGTGGGAGCCGGAGCCCCCGGAGTGACTCTCGCCGTGACCGGACACCGCTGACTTCCAGCCGCCGCCATGGGCTCCGAGCGGGACTCCGAGTCGCCGCGCTCCTCGTCCATCCACTCGGCCGCCGCCAAGTGCCCCAAGCCCGGCCGCCGCCGCCGCCTCTCCTTCCAGAGCGTCTTCTCCGCCGCCGCCGCCTCCGCCGCGGGCAGCCGCCGCCGCGCTAAGGCCGAGCCGCCTCCCGCCGCCCCGCCGCCGCCGCCGCCCCCCGCCGCCCCGCCGGCCCCGCCGCCTCCTCCTCCTCCTCCTCCGCCGCCGCCTCTGCCGCCCCCCGAGGAAGCGGCGGTGGTCCCGGAGGGCGGCGGCGAAGAGGAGCTGGAGTGCCCGCTGTGCCTCGTGCGGCAGCCGGCCGAGAACGCCCCACGCCTGCTGTCGTGCCCGCACCGGTCGTGCGGGGCCTGCCTGCGGCAGTACCTGCGCATCGAGATCACCGAGTCCCGCGTCAACATCTGCTGCCCCGAGTGCAGCGAGCGCCTCAACCCCGCCGACATCCGCCGCCTGCTCCGGGACTCCCCGCACCTCGTCGCCAAGTACGAGGAGTTCATGCTCCGCCGCTGCCTCGCCGCCGACCCCGACTGCCGCTGGTGCCCGGCCCCCGACTGCGGGTGAGTGCGGCGCTGCCCCGGCCCCGTGCGGCGCTGCCCCGGCCCCGTGCGGCGCTGCCCCGGCCCCGTGCGGCGCTGCCCCGGCCCCGTGCGGCGCTGCCCCGGCCCCGTGCGGCGCTGCCCCGGCCCCGTGCGGCGCTGCCCCGGCCATGCCCTCCGGGGACGGTGCGGGAAGGGAGCCTCCCCCCTCCCCAGGTCCTGCTGGGTGCTGGGGTACGTGGGTGATGCGGATCCGCGGTCCCCTGGGGGTCACATCCCAGCTGGGGTGGCCCCGGGACGTGGCCTCCTCCTGGGGTGCTGCCCGTTCCCATTTGGGTGCCGGGGAGGGCACAGGAGGGCTGGCTCGCTCCCGGTGGGGTGCTGGTGCTGGTGCTGCGCACCTCCAGTGCTACCGAGTGCCGATGGAGAGCCTGCATCCAGGAGCTCTTTGCTGTGTGGTATCCCAGGTTGGAAGATCAACAGGTCCGGCCTTTCCAGGCAAAGCATGGCCTAAACAGGATGTCCCAGCACCCTGTCCAGCTGAACCTTAACAGTGCCCAGTGCTGGGGAGTCACCACTTCCCTGGGCAGATCATTCCAGTGGCTGGTTGTTCTCAATGGGAAAAATTTCCCTCTTGTATCCAGTCGGAATCTCCCCAGGAATAACTTGTGCCCCTTGTCAGGAGTCCCCAGGACAGCTGATGGGCCTTGGGTACCAAAGCATCACTGTCTATCCCTGCTGCCTCCTAGAGAACCAGGTTTTGACCTTGGGGCTAATGAAGTCCAGACAACCCAGCTATGAGTAATAGGACTTGAAGGGGGGTTTAGGTGAGCCACAGTTTCTCTCATTTAAAAGAAAGCACAAATAGGAAGTGTGGAGTTTCCTGGTCGTGCCAGCCATGGGGACACCCTCCAGCATCCGTAGTGGGGAAGAGGGAACCACAGCCGGTCACTTTTTCCCAGTAAGGATGTGAGCTCATGGCCCAGAGGAGGGATGTTGCCTCATTGCCCATTACCCAAATGAGGCAACGTCTGCCTGGCCAGAAGTCAGCCCAGCCAAGCTTGATGACTTTATAGTTATCTGTGCATTGCTTTCATTTTCTCTTCTCTTTTCCGTCAAATGAACTCTCTTAGGTTTCTGTTTGAGTCTAAGCCAAAGCTGCCTGGAAAAGGGCTTCATTCAGGAAACTTAGAGAAGTGCTGTGAAGTTGAGCTACAACTCGGCTTGGACTGCAATTTGGGTAGCAAGAACATGAAAGGAAAGTCTGACCTAGCAGTCAGCATGGAAAGCGTGGTGGGAGGGTTGTGAAGATTTAATCAGGGCAGTGGAATAGCCTTCGTATGCAAACCCAGCCTGGCTCAGGTTCCCCATTGCTTTGAGCAGCTGTGTAAAGGGCTTGTTTCTTCAGAGGGCAGTGTTAATAGCAAACAACAGCTTCTCTCCTTGCAGAAGCAAAATCGAGTGTTGGATCTTGTTGTTGCAGGAGCTCTGGGGATAAGAGGAGGGTGATAGAGCAGGTTGTGCTGCCATGGAGCAGTACCAGAGGGAATGCCCCTGCTGTCAGTGCTGTTAGCTGACTAGAGAAAACCCTGTTCCTGCTTACTGAATCTCGGCTCCTTGGCTGCTGTGGTGTCTCTCTGTGCTCAGGATAAGGTGTAAACTCGAGGTACATCACCCAGGCTGCCTGGTTGGAAGGAGCCAGCCCCCAGCGCAGGGGCAGTCACCCAGCCTGAGCCTCATCTGTGTCTTGAGGGGGTTTGTGCACACCGGTGTCACCCACAGCTCCTCCTGCCAGCAAAAGCCTCTCCCTTGGCTGACCAAGGAATGTGCATGGGCACCCTCCTCTGAGCTGCCCAGCAAAGCAAGAAGCGACCCTGGGGTTGCTGAGACCAGGCAATGCTCACGGACCAGTGCTGCTGGTGTGTCTGCAGCACTGAACAAAGGCTGCTGGAATTCAGCCCTCCGGCAGGGAGAGGAATTAATCACCCTATTCATTCTTGCCAGCCAGCTTGGGTCTCCCTGCTTCTGTAACATCAGGGTATGAATTATTTACACCAGGCTTTCCCACTGTAGTAGTGCTGGTGTACGGAGCGGGAGCTGGGGCATGCGATGCTCAGCACCGGCTGTCCCCCCCCCCCCGTGCTGGGGTGGTGGCAGTGAGGGGCTGCTGGGTGATGGGTGCATGGCACACAGCATCCCTGCCCCTTCCACACGTCCCAGCCTTTCATAAATGAAAGAGCCCGTGGGGAGGAGGAGGAGGAGCAGCACTACACCGGTGCGTGTTGGCATGGAAACGCCGGTCAATTGATGCGCCATCAGTTGCGGTACAAATCATTTTCTATGTTTGCAGCTCTTGTTTTTCCTTGCTCCAGTCAGGTGGCATCACTGTCTAGTGCTTGTCACACAGCAGCTCTCCTGGAAGCCTGCGAGAATAACAGAGCCATTAGAGGAGCGGAGCTGTGTAGGCTGAGCTCAGTGAATGAGGCTGCTGAGGCTCTGGCTCGCGTGGAGCAACGGGAAGAGGGATGGAGGCAACTCGTGGCCATCCAAGGAATGGGCTGGCGGCAGAGCTGTGCAATTCCACAGCCTTGGGAAGACCTTCGCTGTCATTGCTGCATGGGGAGAAGTCAAAGTTTCCCTTTCCTCTGCTGGGGTTGAGCCTGGCTGTTGAACTCAGTGATGTGCTGGGAGTCAGGTGAAGAAGGGCCACATGTTGGCCACCCAGATCCTGCCACACTTAATCCTAGGGACATCGCTTCGACAGCCTCTTCCGAGTTGACCTTGAATGCAGGGATGTGTTATTTCTTTCCCTAATAGACAGTCACGTAGTTTGTTCCCCCACAGCTTTGGGCTTGTCCATGGTATTGGTCATTTCAGCTCAAGGAATAGAAGATAAATGGTGACAACTGTAATTTCTCATAGGATTTGCTTCTTGAGTGTTTAGAAAACCCCACTTTTTGAGGGGGTAATTTAGAGCATTGGGTTGCTTATTGCATTACACTGAGCTTTCCTAGCCTGCTGTTACGGTTTGAAGTAGCAGTGTCACAACACAGCTGGTCAGATCAAGGGGGGTTTGCCAGGGGTAGGTCTTTGGCCACGTGTTAGCAGCAGTGTAAGGATGCTTTGTGGGATCTTAGAATCACAGAGTGGTTTGGGATGGAAGGGACCTTAAAGCTCATCCAGCTTCAACCCCTGCCACGGGCAGGGACACCTTCTACCAGAGCAGCTTGCTCCAAGCCCCTGTGTCCAACCTGGCCTTGAGCACTGCCAGGGATGGGGCAGCCACAGCTTCTCTGGGCACCCTGTGCCAGCGCCTCAGCACCCTCACAGGGAAGAGCTTCTGCCTAAGAGCTCATCTCAGTCTCCCCTCTGGCAGGTTAAAGCCATTCCCCTTGGCCTGCCCCAACAGGCCCTTGTCCAAAGCCCCTCTCCAGCTTTCCTGGAGCCCCTTTAGGCACTGGATGCTTAGTGGGATCTTCACAGAATTATGGATGGTTTGCCTTGGAAGGGACTCTTGTCTCTAGACAAGATGCCTACTGGTCCATGCAGGTCACATTTGTCCCTCTCAGCCTTCTAAAGCCACCTGTATCCCATCTCTCCTCCAGTCCCAGCTTCACGTGCAGGCGGGGCCGCTGCAGTCGTGCGTCCCGGCCCCACGCTGGGCGCGGAGCTGCTGTTTCTCTGGTGATGATGATGCTGTACCCTGGCAGGATGAAGCTGCTCAGACTCCCACGGGATGTGAATCACTGTGGTGTGACACACTCGGCGGTTCTCACGCTGCTGCCTCTGCGAAGAGGCAACACAACTGGAGCCACGCAGGCTCTAAATATAAAACCTGGGCTAGAGCTGACCCCTACCAGAGGTGCAGAGGATGATCAACACGAGCACCCTTTGCCATCCTGGTGTTGCAGGGCTGGGGGGGCACCTCTGGACTTGCTCAGTTCAGCCCCTGCCAGTGGAAGCAAGCTCATTGCAGGGGACCGAGTCAGCTTTCCTGCAGCACTGCTTGGTGGTGCTGGTTGAACTGCTGCGTACACAGCACATTTCCTGCTGGAAGCATCACGCTCCTGTGGGAACAAGCGAGGTGGTTGAACCTGCTCTTCTTCTCTTGCATGTTTTGCTCAAGTTTTGGCTCGCTCCAGGGACAGTGTTGTCCTTCACTGCTCTTGAAAAGGAAATGCTGTGGGGATGATGGATGCTTCTTGAGGTATCCGTACATGAAAAACCTTGTTGTGCCACTTTAGAATCATTCACTTGATAAAGTGCCCAGGACAGCCTCAGCTTTCCTAGATTCATCCACCCATATAGCATCCACCTGTATACCTATCCTAAGGAACTGGGGTACGTGTGTTAAACTGGGATGCTTGGGAATTGCAGTGTGAGCTTGTCCTAGGAGCCTGAATCAGAAGCAGTGAACTGTTAACCAGGCACACGGGCAGGACAGATCTGGTCTCTCTGAACTGACAGAAGAGTTATTGAGGAGAGAACTCGCTATTGCAAGCTGTCTGTGTCAAAGCTGTCAGCCCCGAGGAGCCCCATTAGCACTGCTTAATTTCAGGCCCTGCAGTGCAAAGCATAGGACTGGAGAGAGCAGGAATCTGGCTAGGGTGTGGGCTGCAGGCTCTCCGCAGGCTGGGTTAAAGCATCCCTGTCTCTGGATACCTTTCCCTGATCCTCCTGGTGTCTCCCCCCTTCAGGTACGCGGTCATTGCCTATGGCTGTGCCAGCTGCCCCAAGCTGACCTGCGAGAGGGACGGCTGCCACACGGAGTTCTGCTACCACTGCAAGCAGATCTGGCATCCCAACCAGACCTGCGACATGGCCCGGCAGCAGCGGGCACAGGCGCTGCGGGTACGCACCAAGCACACGTCAGGCCTCAGCTACGGGCAGGAGTCTGGCCCAGGTATGGAAGGATGCTGGAGGGGGGCTCTTCGTGAGGGACTGGAGCGATGGGACACAGGGGGATGGGTTCAGACTGAAACAGGGGGAGTACAGGTTGGAGATAAGGAAGTTCTGTAGTGGGAGGGTGGTGAGGTGCTGGCAGAGGTTGCCCAAGGAAGTGCGATCCCTGGCAGTGTTCAAGGGCAGGCTGGACAGAGCCAGGTTTAGTGTGAGCTGGGGTTGGAACTGGATGCTCTTAAGGTCCTTCCCAACCTAAACTATTCTATGATCCACACCTTGCTGTGGTTACTGCAGTGCAGCCTGTGGGGCTGAGAAAGAGCCATCTGAGGGCAAAAACTCTTCTTGCCAAAGCAGGGGGGTGTTAGTGCCCTGCAGGGACTGCTGCTGCCTGGCACAGCTGAGGGTCTCCAGCAGCCACCAGTGGGACCAGCTGTGAGACTCAGAGCCATTTCCCCTTCTCGTGATGGGCTCCTCCAAGAGCACAAAACAGATGAGGAGGTGATGAAGTGCTTTGGGTCCTTCTGTGTCAGGGCAGTTCCCCTCATCCGCCCCAGCTAGGCTTGTGGCTCCTTTGATCTTGGATGTTCTCACTTCCCGTGATCTAAATCCTGAACAAACAGGCACTTTTTACCCTTACAGCCTCAAGTCTGCCTGCTGCAGTAGCAAGGAGCAGCGTTCATGCCTTGCTGCGTGTGGGGAGCTCTGTGTGCTGTTAGGTGTTGGTAATGTCAAGGACTGAAGCCACAGCCTCCCACGCTGCCTGGTAGGAGCTGCTGTGTCTGCTGGGTTAGTGTTGGTTAAAACCAACTGTCCTGAGCCTGGCAATAGAGTCCTGCTTTACCCCTAAACAAAACCCTCTGGTTTCTCCTCTCTGTCAGGAGTTGAACTTCTTAGAACAGGGCTGCTGTGGGTGGTTCCGAGGTGGCTTCATGGTGTGTTGAGATTCAGCATGCCCCAGTTAGAGGGCCCTGGTAACGGACAGCATAGACACTGCTTGTAGCCCAGCCTGTGGTACAAACCAGCAGCAGCAAATAGTTTCCGAGTTTTCCCATCCTGTTAAAGGAGATCCCTGCCAGGAAGCTTAGTGCTCAGCCACCGACAGGGAGGTTCTTGAGACAGTGGTTTTCCCCCACCCTGTTCTTGCTGCATTCAATGTGGTGATTCATAAGGTGCGAGCTGGTCCCAGCAGCTGGATTTCATACTGTGGAGTGTTGCAGAGGCTGCCAGCAAGCCCTGAGCCGCTGCACGGTGTAACCGCCGTCAGATGATGCTTGGATTAAGGAAGAGGTGAAGGCCCCTTCCCCTCTGCCAGCAGCAAACCAGGGGCTGCACAAGCTCTGCCCTGCCTGCAGACCCTGTTCAGCTGCTTTCCAAGGTCAGGTTCAGAGTTTCTCCAAGCCCTTGTGCTCCCAATTGTTCTGTCGTTCTTGGCCTGCGAATCACCGCAGTGGAGCAATTTGGTAATGGCTCACTCTTGCTGCTGCCTTGGCTAGCGCAGGGCAGGTATGACTTGTTCCCAGGGTTTAAGCATGTTCTGGAATACATCCTGTTCAAAGCCACAATAAGCTTTTAAAGCAGCTGCTGTTCTCAGTCCCTGCTGTGCAGGCAAATGGCTTTGGTGGGCTTTGTCCCATCAATGTTGCCCTCTCACCCTGAAGATAAAGGCCCAACCTCCCCACTGTATGCGCTCAGCAGAGGCGTTCTGCCCGCGCTGCCACCGAGGGGTGGATCCACGATGAGGTCCCCCTTGTTGCCTGCTCCCAGCTCAATCCCATGCTCCGCATCCATCCCACAGCCGACGACATCAAGCCGTGCCCGCGCTGCAGCGCGTACATCATCAAGATGAACGACGGGAGCTGCAACCACATGACGTGCGCGGTGTGCGGCTGCGAGTTCTGCTGGCTCTGCATGAAGGAGATCTCGGACCTGCATTACCTCAGGTGAGGAGGGGAGCAGCCCCTGCTGCCCTGGGGCTCTGGGCAGGGGTTCACTTGCCTGGTGGCCTCCCTCCTCCTGCCTCTTCGATCAGGCAGCCAAATGCTGTGCCTGACCCCAGGAGCTGAGCTTTCTGCCTGCTTTAGATGCTCTTCCACAGCAGGTTCCTCCTGACACGACAGCGTCGGAGGGCTCTTGGTGTACTGGGTATTGAGCAAGGGCCCAGTAGTGTGGTCATCACCTTGAGGAGCAAGTTAATCTTGATGGGGAGAAAAAGAGGGAAACCCTTTTTGTGTTGTCTGCCTGCTTCCTGAGTTCTGTCGGTGTGGAAGTTGAACGGGGGCTCTCGGGAATTGCTCTCATGCTAATGGCGTTGTTTTCCCCTTCTGTGAAGCCCCTCTGGCTGCACATTCTGGGGCAAAAAGCCATGGAGTCGTAAAAAGAAGATTCTCTGGCAGCTGGGCACGTTGATCGGGGCTCCCGTGGGCATCTCCCTCATCGCTGGCATTGCCATTCCTGCTATGGTCATTGGCATCCCGGTGTACGTTGGGAGGAAGGTGAGTGTGGAGAGCAGGAGGCTGGAGCTGCTGAGGGGTTTGGGGCATTCTCTCCTCTCAGAGCATCTGATACAAGGAGTGGATCTGGTCATGGAACCCAAACTCAGTTCTCTTCTAAGCTTTACCTTATCTTTAGAGCTTTGGGTGGGGAGAGGGAAGGTGGTGGCTGGTAGCCCTTGAGTCCTCTCAAATGCATTTTGCATCACTCTTGTGCCTGCACCAGGAGCACCCAAGGGGAGACCTGGTCCCTTTTTAACACGTGATGATGGGCCCTATGGGACAGTGGCTGGACCCTGAGTATCACACTTTGGCTTGCATAAATCACTCGTGTTTTGATGCTGAGCTACTGCCCCGAACTGTGTGATGCTGTTGTGTGTCTGTGCTGCTGAAGAGGCACTGAGAGGCAAGAAATGGTGTGTCAGCACTGTATTTGCACCTCCTCCTTTTCCTACAGCACAGACCCACCTACTAGATCTGATCTGTGGTCAAGATGAGGTTCTTTAAGGGCTAATCCAGCTGACAAGGCTGTAAAATCACAAGCTTATTAATGTCTTCTGCTGGTGTTTGCTCTGTTCTCACCTGGTGCTTCTCCTTCTGTCAGATCCACAGCAGATACGAGGGAAAGAAAACCTCCAAGCACAAGAGGAACTTGGCCATTACTGGTGGGGTCACCTTGTCTGTCATTGCCTCTCCAGTCATCGCTGCTGTCAGTGTGGGTGAGTGGGCACAGTCCCTTTCCCTTCTGGGGGGCCAGGTGTCACTGAGCCAAGGGGTGGAGCAGCCCTGTGGGATGGGGGTTTTGCTCTTCTGGGCACATGGCTCTGTTTCACATCCACATCCTGCTGTGCCTGAGGTGGCCTGGAGCCAGCCCAGGGCTTGTCTGGAGCACCAGCTGCCTGTGCACAGCCCATAGGGGAGTCCCTTGACAGCAGAGCTGCCTCTTGCCCGTGGGCTGGTTTGGAGGCTGATGCCTTGTGGGTTCAGCTGAGGCTGTCTCTGCTCTTGGGGCTCCCTTGTTCTGCACTGCAGCAGCACAGGGGACTCCTGCACTGCCTGCAGGGTTGTGAACTAGGGCTTTAGAGCAGCATGAACACAACGGGAAGAGTCCCTACCCCAAAGAGTTTTCTGTCTGCCCAGCACAGCTCAAGCCTAAGCTGCTCCTCTGACACCAGCACATCCTCCTCTGCAGGTATCGGCGTCCCCATCATGCTGGCTTACGTGTACGGGGTGGTGCCCATCTCGCTGTGCCGGGGCGGTGGCTGCGGGGTCAGCACTGCCAATGGGAAGGGGGTGAAAATCGAGTTTGATGAAGATGATGGACCCATCACAGGTAATGGGATGAGTGGGGAAGGGAAGGGGGTGAAGCAAGACCCTGCCCATTGCCTCTTGTAATGTAATCATGCTACCGAGACCTGAATGTCTGCGTTTACCTGCGTTTGCCTACAAGCAGTCACTTGCTTCAGGCTCCTGGTGATGAGCTCCGTAGCTCCTTGAAGCAATATCTCAGCTCTTCCTTGCCCTGACCCCAGCTCTGCCAGCACCATCGCAGCCGGATGCTTCCCTTGCTGATCCCTGTTCCTGTGCTGCTCTTCTCGCAGTGGCTGATGCCTGGCGAGCCCTGAAGAACCCCAGCATTGGGGAGAGCAGCATCGAGGGGCTGACCAGCGTGCTGAGCACCAGCGGCAGCCCCACCGATGGGCTCAGCGTGATGCAGGGCAACTACAGCGAGACAGCCAGCTTCGCCGCGCTCTCGGGGGGCACCCTCAATGGGGGGGTCCTCTCCGGAGGCAAGGGCAAGTACAGCAGGTGAGTGAGCTGCTGGGCACACAGGAAAAGGGGAGAGGCCCCCAAGGCTGGTGTTGGCTGGGGAGGAGCCTGCTGGGGAGCTCTCCAAGGCTGTGAGTGCATCCCCCTCTGTGTCCTGGTAGGTTTTCATAGGGTGATTTGGGTTGGAAGGGACCTTAAAGCTCATCCAGTCCCAGCCCCCTGCCACGGGCAGGGACACCTTCCACCAGAGCAGCTTGCTCCAAGCCCCTGGGTCCAACCTGGCCTTGAACACTGCCAGGGATGGGGCAGCCACAGCTTCTCTGGGCACTCTGTGCCAGCGCCTCAGCACCCTCCCAGGGAAGAGCTTCTGCCTAAGAGCTCATCTCAGTCTCCCCTCTGGCAGGTTAAAGCCATTCCCCTTGTCTTATCACTACATGCCCTTGCAAAAAGGGCATCTTGTGTTGTAGAATAACCAGGAGCAGCTGAGGCTGCTTCTGGAGCCAGTGCTGGGCTGGTTCCTGCAAGGAGGACAGGGGTTTCTGTCCCTACTGAGCTCCTTCAAACTACAGAGCTGATGCTTCAGGTTAATTGGGAATGGTGCAGAGCTGCCTGCGTGGCCTGCTTAAAGCTCTTCCAGTTCTCTTGTCCCAGGCTGGAGGCTTTGATGCTTCCCATTCCCAGTGTCTTATAGCAAGCAGGGTCACTGCTTGCCAAGTCAGGAGGCTGCACCACAGTTCTCTGAACATGCCTATGAGTCACTTTGGGTGATTGGAGCCATGTGCTGAGGTGGCAGCCAGGATCCCATCATGGCTCTGTACGGGAGCTGTGCAAATCGCTTCTTCGCAGGAACCGTGTGAGTCATGAAAAACAACTTCACCTTCGTCATGGAAAACAGAACGGCTTTACCTAAACAGAGCCAAACCTGAGACTTAAGGAGAGAAACCATTGGGGTTGAACTCTGCCAAGCTGAGCTGCACCGGCACCACGGGCCTCTTGCCTTCCCATGACAAACAATGAGTGCTTGGTGCCCCTCAGGGACCATCTAAGGCATTCCTGAGGAATCCTCTTCTTTCCTGCAGGCTGGAAGTTCAGGCTGATGTCCAGAAGGAGATTTTCCCCAAAGACTCTGTCAGCCTGGGGGCTATCAGTGACAATGCCAGCACTCGAGCCATGGCTGGCTCCATCATCAGCTCCTACAACCCCCAGGACAGGTAGGAGGATGGGCACTGGTGAGGAGGGTGCTGGCATCTTCTCTGCTCTGTGGGGTGCTGCTGTGGGCGGGGAGATGACTGCAGCAGCTCCAGCCTGTTCTCTGGTAGCTGGCAAGTGGAATGATCCTTTCCCTAGCCCAGAAGGAGGGCTGGGGACAATGTGGGAGCAGCCTCCACGTGTGGTGTGGAGGCTGAGGAAGGAAGCTGTAACTCAAGATCCTCAAGGGCTGTTCCTGGCTGGTCACTCTGATGTTTTCCCAGTTCAGTTCCTGGCTTACAGCCTGGGATGATCTTGGCTGCTGTTGGGAGGACTCAAGGAGAGCAGCAAGCGTTGCTGTTTCCCAGATGCTGCAGGGTGATAAGCAGCATCTTGCTCGTGTTTAGCAAACGTGATCCTTCCAGACCAGCGGTGACCCAGTGGAACCCAGTAACACAAAGGTGCTTGTTCCTGCAGGGAGTGCAATAACATGGAGATCCAGGTGGACATCGAAGCCAAACCAAGTCACTACCAGCTGGCGAGCGGCAGCAGCACAGAGGACTCTCTGCACGTCCACACCCAAATGGCAGAGAATGAGGAGGAGGAGGACGGGGAGCAGGAGCAGACCTGCAAACACCCAAGCTGTGAGCAAAAGGACTGCATTGCCAGCAAAACCTGGGACATCACCCTGGCACAGCCCGAGAGCATCCGGAGCGACCTGGAGAGCTCCGACAGCCAGTCGGACGATGTGCCGGACCTTACCTCGGACGAGTGCGAGTCCCCCCCGCCCCAGCCTGCAGCAACCTGCCCCCAGAGCCCAAGTGCCCCCCTGAGCCACTGTGCCCAAGCCGAGGGCTGCAGGCTGGATGACATGGTCAAGCTGGAGTGCATCGAAGCCAGGGTGTGAGGTGGGCTCCTGTTGACCAGCACTCCATCACTGCATCTCTCTGGGGCAGGGTTGTGTCCGTGTTGGCTTCTGTCTTCGAGGCTACAGTGGCTCCCCAGCCCCCCCCCCCCCCTCCCGGGGAGCTGCTGTTTCTTATGTGACAAAAAACAAAAAGGAAAAAAAAAAAACAACAACAAAAAAAGCCCAATCCCCACCCCCTGTTTTTGTTTTAATTTATTGATCCAAGCTCTGTGAGGTGTGTAAGAGTGTAAATATGTACGTGTGTCTGTACGTCTGCAACCATCCTAAGGGACTATTGGAATAAAGCCTCTGGTTGTCATTTGACTCTCATCCAGTTCATCTTTTCCAGGGATGTACAGGGAGCCACTCTGGCTGCCTTTGCTCAAGGATTCCTAGCCCAAGCCATGGGGCAACAGGAGCATTTCCTCTTCTGCCTTTAGGAACTGGGCTAGAACAGCCTTGTTCTGGCTGTAGCAGTGATGGGAACAGTGCATGTGCCATGTTGGGCTTTGTTCTGAAGCTGGGGCAGGACGAGGTGTCTCTTTTCCCCCAGGGAGATGGGGATGGAGGGGATGCATGGGGAAGGGGATGAGGCAGCATAGCACGGTGTTTGGTATGGCACTGGCTCAGCAGGTGTGGGACAGGGCTGTGCGGTGGTTCACATACCAGGACTCACCCTGCGAGCAGGGCTTCAGGACAGCCAAGAGCAGGCACCAGGGAGGCAGGATGCAGATGGGATTTGAGGTGGGAAAGCGAGGAGTGAGAGCAATGCTGCGGGCACCGCTATGGAGCTCACCGCGTGTAAAACACGCCGAGCACCAGCTTGCTGTCCCGGCTCTTTGCCTGCGGGAGGGCGGCCGGATCTGCGGCGCCAGAGAGCGGGCATCAGAGATGCAGTCCCCGGAGTGAGCTGCCTGGCAACGGGCAACCAAAGGAGGATGGGAGGGGAGCCGAGGGGCGCTGCCTGCCCGGTAGGACACCAGTGAGAGGGAGATGCCATCGTGTGGCCACACGCGGTACTGCAGGAGCTGCGCATCACCTACACGTGGGTATCTCCGGAACGCGTTTTAGGTGAGGAAGGGAAGGGGGATTGCTGTGTTGGTGGCACCATTTCGGAGGTCTCCCTGTGTAGGAAACTAAATAGGTATTTCCATAAGTCCTCATAAACCCCACTGGATTGTTTGTGGTGGGCTTCAGCTACAGAATGAGCAGGGAGATGAGTGGGAGCAATGTGCTCCCAGGTGGGCTTTGTTACCCTTACCAGGCACCAGCAGGTTCTTTGAAGCCAGAGTTTGTTCTGCTCAGGTCCTTTGGCTAACTTCCTGCCTGGGCAACTCTCTTTCTATAGAAACAAATACAAATCATTTTTAAACTTACAAATACCCAATTCTGATGATTTCATTTGTTGAAGGTATTTAATACCAGCTTTCTTTCTAGAACAGGATGCATACGGGGTAGAAGGCAATGGATACTTTGGAGGGGGAAAACCAGTTGCATCAAACTCTCAAATGCCAGGTAAGAATAGAACTGGTCAATAAATACTGTTCATCAAAACAGTAAAAAAAAGCACCCACAGAATTAATAATAATAATAATTCTACACTAAGCTCCTAGGTGTAGGTACCAGCTGCCCTTGTGCAGTTACCAAATTGTAAATGCACGTACAGGTAGAAAACAAAACTCAACAAAAAACCCCAAACAAACGCACCTAAAAAATCCTCCAGCTACAAGCTTGACTTTCAGAAAGTATTTACAGAGCCAACGAAGCCCCTGACCTGGTAGCACAGAACTGTGTGCACCGACAGTGCAAAGAGCACCAAGAGATTCTGCCGAGCCAAAGTCCTTGTAAGGCCATGCTAATGGAAGTGTTTCACACAACTCCTGGCTGAGCTGTTGCCGCAGGCACTGCTGCAGGCTGTGGGAGCATCTTCATCCCAAAGAGTCCCCAGCAGCAGCACTGGGGTCTTGTCCCTCCTCTTCCGACACCTTCCACTTCCCTTACATGCCGGCAGCTTGCTGGGGGGGGACGCCCGGCGTAGGCTGGCGAGGCAAAGTGTACATGGCCCCGAGAAACTGGTCTGCGATGCGGCCGGCTTCCCTCAGCCCGCTCAGCAGAGCCCCGTGAACGGTGGCGGGGTAGTTGCGAATTGTGTGCTCCCCCGCAAAAAACAGGCGAGGAATCGGCTGGGGAAGCAGAGAACAAACACCGCTGTTAGGGCCTGCTCATGCTCCCCCAGAGCCTGCAGCAAACACACCTGAAGAAAACGTTAGAAGTCCTCTAGATAAAATAAAGGAGAAAAACTTCACCTCTTACAGGCTGCGGAGAAGAATTTTATCCACAGCTACATTTATTAGTGACTTACAGCACTAGAAAAGACCCTAAATAAAGCCAGAGCTGCACTCTGCTGGTGCTATCAGAATGGCTACTGCTCTCAAAACCTCATCCTTTCAAAGTGAACTGGACACGACTTAATGCCTTGTTGGGTTCACTCCCACTCTGGGAGACACCTTTTGGTTCCTGTTCTTCCCACTCGGGCCTTCACGCTTTCAAATCACTACAACTCACTTAAATATGGGCATGGGACAACTTAAACACGGCGTATGAACACAATAAATGCATGGCATTGTAATACTCTGTTCAGATATTGCCAAATTGACTTGGAGTAAAACAATCCTTTTTCTAGTAAAGAAATTGCACCAAACCTGGGCAGGCAGAAATCACGGGTGGAAAACGGAATCATTGTACAGGTTCTAATCATCATCAAAAGGCGCAGGTAACCTAAACCTGTGCTTCGAGAGGGGTGTGAATCACGTGGAAAAATCCCCCTGGTTGAGGTCTTACTGAGGAGAACAGAGACGTCTCTCACCTGCGGAGCACCCGGAATGGCTGGTCCTGGAGTAATCGGCTGAGCCATCAAATCATAGTCATTGCCAGAGGACCCGGCTGCGACATAGGAGTAGGAGCCCCGGGCCCACGGGTCAGCGCGCCAGCGGGACACCACCGTTTCCTTAGGCTGAGACAAGACAGAAACCTCAGTTGCTGCCACAGGGCAAGGCCTAAGGATCTTGCAAAACACAAACCACACAAACTGCAAGAATAAAGGACACCAAGCCCTCAGGCTAACATTAATGGTGGCTCCAAGTTTGTATTCCACGAGAACATACACACTAAGGTAAAGAACTTGTCTTTGCTGTCAACACCTCAACTCCTTGCATTATGTCATGAGAACCTCCTGCACACAGCTGCTGCTTACTCCCTTCCTCCCCCTTTTAGTTCCTTTCCAGCCAGACCAGTTTCTTGTGCAGTTCACTGGTCAAGAGCTTCACTGTACTTTAGAGAAGGTGCAGACCATGGCAGGGAGTACCCAAGCAGCGCTGTCACCAGCCATGGACAGCTCAGCTGTAACCCCAGGAATGCAAAAGGGAGAAAAATGAATGGAAGTATTTGATAGTCTGGAAAAGCTGGAGTCAAAAAAACCCCAACCCAACTCAACCCAACCCACAACCCAGACAAAACAGCCCCAAACAACACCCCCCAAACAACCCCAAACCTACAAACAACCCCTTCTCACAAACCCCTGAACACACACAGGGCACTACCTATAGAACACAGCACACTCTAAACCATGGAGGAGGTACCTAAGATGTTGCCTGTACCGACCTGAGGCACAGCGCTGCTCCCAAAGATGCCTTTGAGGATGGCAAGGCACCGTCCAACAATGACATCATCGCTGATGTTTTCCATGATTCCTGCTGCTTCTCCTGCTACCAAGGCCAACAGAATCGGTGCTGGGGTGTGGGGAAGGAGAGAGAAAACACAAGTGAATCGCTGCCATCAATCGTCTTAATCTGACAAGTTGGACTTGAACAGGCCTTGGCCTGAAAGAGACTTCAATAACCCAACAGCACAGTGGAGCAAGAGGCACCTGGAGCACAGGCCAGCTGCCCCAGGACATGCAGTGCTCCTGAGGCTACAGGGTCTCAGCAGTCATTACCTCAAACAGACTGAAACTACTGGGAAGATTCCTGTCTGCACTACAACAGGTCACCCACAGCCATACAAGCACATGCAGTCTGCTCATCTGAGTTCCACTTCATTCACCCACCCATCGTTAAATACTTCTCAGAGACCAGTTCTCTGCCAACAGAAGACCTTCAAAGAACTCCCCCAGAGCTAATACAGGATGTGCTGTGACAGTTCTAGGGTTTTTGCTTCTGGATTTGTTTTCTGGATTGTTCAATCTGTTCAGTTTAAACAGCTTCTGCCCAAAATGCTACGGCTAAGGAAATACAGAAGATGAATCTAGCAGCAGAACCTTTGTGTGAGAGATGGTCTTTCTATATAAACCAAAACCCCACTACTACGTGTTAAGTATGTAATAGAGACATCTTAAAGCCACAAAAGCAGACACCCAAACAGCCCTCTTATCCAAGGCTCACAACATGTATTTCTCCAGTCAAGTCTTACCAAACGTTCTAACAATTACCCTGAATTACAGGTATTTTAACGAATACCCTAGAAGGGCACCTTCTTTGCACAGCCATTTTCCCCAGTTAAAAGAAAAACCTGCCCTGCCCTCTGGTACTTGAAACAGTCATCTCCCAAAAAAAGAACCCATTTAACAGTGCTCACTGTACACACAGCTTTGCTCTTAGTACGCTCCACGGCAATCGACAAAACCAGCGTGCTTACTGAAAGCATCTTCTGACAACTTCTGGTGGCAGACACCGGCTGCAGGGAAAACAAAACCACTAATGGCAAAGTCCAGCTGCAGAAACAGGCAGGGCAACACCTTTTGCCTGCTTAAGCATTTAATAGAGAGAAGCTCCGGAGGCTCACAGTCCAGTCAAAGCTGCTTTGCTGCTCAAACAGGAAACAAGCTCATCCACTGGAGACACCACAGCTTGCATTTCCACTGCATCTCAACCATATGGATGGCCCTGCAGCCCATCAAGCTGGAATGGTAACGCTCAGCAAGAGGAACAGAGCTATAGCAAAGCCTCTAGTCTGCCCCACTGAAACCTGCATGCTCAATACTTCCACTTGTCTTCCTACAAATACGATTTTCTTATCACATCCGTACGTGAACACCAACAGCATTTTAAAAAGTGCTCTTTTCTAGACCTGAAACTCACAAATAAGACACTGGCAAGAGTAGAGATGCACCGCAGCTACCTTTGTACAGGTTCCAAAACAGGAAAAGTTCTCCTCTGCTTGCAGTAGTGCTACCAACATGACCAAACAGATTGACGCTTGGATCCCAGAAGACGCGATCAAAGCACAACACCACCTAGACACAAAAAGAATCAGGAATTAGGAGGAGT